AGCATATGACATTTTTCAAGAAACACTGTATCTTATTCATTTTTGTGTGTTTATATTGAAACACTGCAGAGATGAAAGAATGGATGGATGGGTAAATTATAGTTGATGGATGAGTGAGTGCTTGGGTTGATGGGTTGATGGATAGATGGTGGTTGGATGAATGATAGATGAACAGTTGGATGGGTGAATGGTTGAATGGATGGATAGATACATGGATGAATTCAACAAACAAGGTGGCAAAAACTTTTAATTATATCTTACACCCAGGTACATCCAGAAAGGTCTTTAGTGGTTCCACAAAGACAAGGGTCTATTTCTTGGTGCTTCTCAGTTCAGGCTGAAAAGCGCATGACTTTGCAGCTGAGCAGCCAGTTGTTTTTTCTTGTCTTTTTCACCTTTTCGCTCCCCATTGTTGTATCAGGAGAGCTGGAAAGGAGTTTTGATCTTAGAGGGAGAGAGAATACCTAGGAGACCTTATCCCATCATTGCCCTGGCCCACATCTCATTTGCTGACTTCCTCAGTTCTGTCCTCATCTGAGTTCCATTCCGTTCTGTTCTCCATACAGGAATCGTGGATTTACTTCCAGCTTGAACTATGGCAGGAGATCTCCACCTCTGGGCCCAGAGTAACAGAACAGCAGATGGCATGAGTGCACCATGGCCAGTAGCCACTTCTGCACCTAGCACTTACCTGTTTATCAGAACAGCATGTTTCATTCTGTTCATTTTCCTGTTCAGGGGCCGCTTTCGTAGCAGCCACAAGGGAAGTGCACCTTACACAGCTTGGAGCCTTCACCAGCTTTTCAAGGAAGGCATTCCAGGCCTGGCTGTTCACTCAGTAAATAGGGCTAAATCCTGGGGTTACCTGAAAATGCAGTATCTAGCTCCTTCTGATACAGAGAACCAGCAGGCGACCTGAAGTGAAAAGGCCCCAAGGCGTTTGGGAGCAGAGCTCCACCCAGCTGCCCCAGAATCCTCATTCAGGGTTTATAAAGCAGTGGGCAGTGCACAATTGGCTAAATTTGGTTGTATTTTTATTTTTATCCAGCCACAAATACCGGCAAAAAAAACGGAAAATTATTCCTTCCCTTCCAGGAGCCTTGGAGCCAAGCTAGTTTTATTTTTAGCTTCAACTCTGGTTTAGGGTTTTCTGCAAACTGAACACCCTACTCACTGAAGGCAGTGGCAGGCTGGGTTATAGGATTTTTGCCTAGACGGGAGTGTTGGTTGTCTGAATGTAACTCTTACCAGGCTTTGTACAGCTGTGACAATAGAGGGCGGTTCCAGACAGACCCACATAGAGACCCAGTTCTTGCCTTGGGGACCTCCAAGAGAGTTCTTTTTCAGGGAGGGCACTGTACACAGGGTGGTTCATTGCCTTGGATGGGATAGAGAAGTGGCAACTCTGGATGAAAAGAAGCAGAAAAAAATTAAGAAAGGGAAAGGGAAAGAGAGCTGTTATTTATTGAAAGGCTTCAAGTATGTGGTGGTTCAGAACTAGAGCTCTGGAGTCTGACTGACTGGGTACAAATCCTGCCACTACCACTTCCTGAAAGTGGCCAAGGGGATGGCTTGACCTCCCCAGGCCTCAGGTTCATTCTGTATGAGACAGGATGAATAATGACACCTACTGTGAGCACTGCTGCAGTTGAGATCCTGCCTGTGCAGCACGTGACATGGCATTTGACATGTAGGTAGAACTCAGTCAGTACCACTGTCATCACTGCAGTGCTGAACACTTGCATAGACACTGTGGCATTTAAGACTCACTGTAGGCCAGGCACAGTGGCTCATGCCTGTAATCTCAGCACTTTGGGAGGCTGAGGTGGGCAGATCATGAGGTCAAGAGATTGAGACCATCCTAGCCAACATGGTGAAACCCTGTCTTTAACAAAGATAGAAAAATTAGCTGAGAAGTGTGATGGCACATGCCTGTAGTCCCTGCTACTTGGGAGGCTGAGGCAGGAGAATTGCTTGAACCCAGGAGGTGGAGGTTACAGTGAGCCGAGATCATGCCACTGCACTCCAGCTTGGTGACAGAGCGAGACTCTCTCTCTCAAAAAAAAAAAAAATGGATGATATTGATAATCTTTAGGGGGTTCTCTCTCTCGGCTTTGGAGCCCCCCCTCCTTTGTCTCTGTACAGGGAAATTTCTTTCTTCCCCCTTCTTTTTTGCCTATTAGACTCCCTGCTTCTTAAAATTAAAAAATAAAAATAAAAAAAGACTCACTGTAACACATTTTACAGATTCAAAACTGAGGCCCAAAGGGCTAGATAGCTTGCCTGAGATCCCACAGCAAGAGCACAATAGAGCCAGACCTGTGCCTACCCCCAGTGAATCCCAAAGACATAACATCAAGCCTTCTCCAGTTCCAGTGGCTTCCACCTGTTATCACTGAATACATGGGAACTACTCGAAACATAAAACTAGGTGTTGCCTCATCCTTGTCTAACCGAGTCCCCCACTTTGCTTTAGTGACAGGAACACACAAAAAGCAGATACTGGCAGTGGTCAAAGAGCACCAGGAAAAATCATAGAGACAGAAAGTGGAATGGTGGTTGCCAGGGCTGGGAGAGGGAGAGATGGGGGTTTATTGTTCAACAGGGGCAGAATTTCAGTATCGCAAGATGAAAAAGTTCTAGAGATGAGTTTCTTAACAATGTAAATATACTCAGTGCAGCTGAACTAACTGTACACTTTTAGTACACAGTTTTTGCTAAGAAGATAAATTTCATGATACGCGATTTTACTGCAATTTTTAAATATTAAAGAAAAAGCACTGGTATAAGAGTCAGGCTGCCCTAAGCCGGGTGTGGTGATTTCAATCCTGTAATCCCAGCACTTAGAAAGGCCAAGGGGGCTGGTCACTTGAGGTCAGGAGTTTGAGACCAGCCTGGCCAACATGGTGAAACCCGTCTCTACTAAAAATACAAAAGTTAGCCAGGCATGGTGATGTGTGCCTGTAATCTCAGCTACTCGGGAGGCTGAGGTGGGAGAATCACTTGTACCTCGGAGGTGGAGATTGTGATGAGACAAGATTGCACCTTTGCACTCCAGTCTGGGCAACAAGAGCAAAACTCCGTCTCAAAAAAAAAAAAAAAAAGAATTATGCTGCCCTAGAGGTGGCCAGGGAATTACAGGTCAGTTCATCCAACTTTCCAGCCTTTCCTCCTCCTAATCAGGAGTACACTTGTTGCATGGCTGTCAGGCTGAGTGGCACCCTCTTGACAGTGGGCTTATGATATGAAGTCTTCAATGCTTCTCTCTCACATACTTTGTCCTGCTTGACCTCCTCCTAGTTGCTCATCCCTCTGAAGTTTCTGTTCATTACCTAGAATGAAAGTGGCGAAATGGGAGCAAAATCCCAAATAGGGAAGCATGTCTGCTTGCCGGTGGGGAAAGGGGAGAGCCTGGGCTTTGGAGCTGGGAGCTAGGGAGAGGCTCACCTTTTCTATTCCTTAGTTTGCTTAGCTTTCAGATTGAGATTATATATTTATATTTATATCCTGTAATAGGACATACTCAATTCACTTTAGGTAGAAAAATTCATCCAGGCTATGAACCGCTCTTTGACTCTGGAAGATTCTGGGGACTGTGGGGTATGTGCTCTAACCACGGTTTGGACAGCTTCGCCTTTCCCTTGCTAAGCTACGTCAACTCACTAGGGCAGAGGGGCATGGGGCTAGCATGGAACAGGGTCTCTCTCTTGGCCTAATGCTCCCAGGAAAACAACCTTCATGATCATAATGGTGGCTCTGTGTCCCTTAAAAACTCAGGTGACCTTGCTGTGGGTGTTTAGCATTGACCATGCTTAAGAGAGACTGGTGGACTCTGTTGGCAACCATCCAATGTGAGCCATCCCTACTGGGCCGATTTTTGCCACAAGCCACACCTCATGCCCAGACCCTGGTCCCTGACCCAGGGCTTACATCTCCATGAGTCCCAGTGAGGGCAGTGATAAACATCTACAACCCATGAAAGTGTTTTAATTTTTTTTAATATTGGAAGACAAAAATGAACTTTTAGGTAGAAATAAATGTTATATATTAATATATATGTTAATATATTTGTATTGATACCAACATAGTTATACAATGTAATAATAAAATGTCTTTTGGCTGGCTGCAGTGGCTCATGCCTATAATCCCAGCACTTTGGGAGGCTGAGGCAGGTGGATCGCCTGAGGTCAGGAGTTCGTGACCAGCCTGGCTAACATGGTGAAACAAATGAAACTTGTCTCTACTAAAAATACAAAAATCAGCCTGATGTGGTGGCAGGAGGCTGAGGTGGGAAAATCATTTGAACTCGGGAGGTGGAGGTTGTAGTGAGCCGAGATCGTACTACTGCACTCAAGCCTGGGCAACAGAACAAGACTCCGTCTCAAAAAATAAAAATTAATGGAGAAAGCAGCTCACAAGGCAAAATTGCTGGGGACCCACAAAACTCACAGTGGAACCCTGCTCTGGTTCACAGAGTCAAGATGGCCAGAATTCTGTTTTGTTCCTCAATCTATGGTGATCTACCAGGCTCTTCTCTGTTGCTAAATCGACTGCTATCTGCTCCCACTGTCACTATTTAGGATCCTGAATATTTCCTCTGATATTTCATTTATGTTTTTAGGGGCATATTTTGTATGCCAGTTTCATCACTTGATATAGCTACATGGAGCTCATGGGGAGAAAAGTTTACAAGTCTGGTCTGGGGTCCGTGGGAAAGAATATCGTGATCCATTAGTGATGTCTGTCCAAGACTCCGGCAGAGGTGTGGCAGCACAGCGTGTGTGCTATGTTGTAACTTTTGACTGACCTTTGCTTTGCATTCCCAGCCTGACTCTAAGCCTCACCAACAGGGAATATACCTTACACATGTTGCGCAGCCCGCACTGAAAAATATAGAGTCTCTTAATGCCTGTTGATTGATTGATTAAAGTAGTATCTGAATACATTCGATTTGGTTTAATGTCCCCTTGACATCCTTCTATTCTCTTTTTCCTCTTTAGGCGCCTGAACAAGAATAAGCTCCAAGTCCTTCCAGAATTGCTTTTCCAGAGCACTCCGAAGCTCAGCAGACTGTGAGTAGAGTTGCCTTGCGTTCTCTACCTTGTACCTTTCCCACTTTGGTGGTATGGAGGATACGGTTTGTGGAGTGCCGTGCCACGTGGAGCTTGGCAGTTAGGCCCTGGCATGGAGACTTGGAGCTGGGCTTTGACGTGACATCCACCCCCAACAAACGCTTTCAGGCCTGACTTCTTGCTCCTTCTCTCAGACATTGGTGGCTTGCGTGACCTGTGAGGACTAGTGATATGATATGTGGTAGTTGATCATTGCCTTGCCAGGAAGGAGGATATGCTTCCATTTATGCTGGCTCTGAACTTACTTCAGGGAAATTCCCTGAGGCTGGGTTTGAGATAGGTTTATTCACAAGAGACTGCCAGTGGTCTCAAAAGACAATGGTTTGGACCAAACACGGCAACCTCACCACCTTGCTGGTTGGAGCAGCTCCTGCCTTTTCCCCACTTCCTAGCACTGCCAGTCTAGGAACCCTGGGTCTGAAGGTTTATGATTTTGTGGGAAAAGGAAGAAACATGTGGTATAATGAGGAGAGGGGAGAGTTGGAGATACTTCTGTTTATTCACTGTGAGAGTTTGGAACACCAGGAGCTGGAGTTGCAGGTGAGGATGGAGACTGTGATTCATGTATTGGATGTCAGGCAGGTGCAAATTAAGTCATCGACAGTGAACCCAAAATCACGCTGGCAGTGACTCAGTCCATGGGGTGTACTGGATTGCCCAAGGCTCGCCTTTCTGAATGAAGCGACAGTCCTGGATGGCTTCGCAGTCAGGTAACAGCCTGGCTGGGAAGACTCGAACATTGCAGGGAGGCTCCAACGTTGTGGCCACCATTCTCATTCCCAATGGTTGCATTTAATGCCTACTTATGCAGCCAAACACTGCATATAGGCTCTGGGATAAACTGGGAAATATGAAACATATTTGTCAATGTGTACACTTACGAATGAGTTCTGAATTAGGAATATATATATGTCTATGCGCGCGCGCGCACACGTATTTTAAAAGGGCACTTCGCTGGAACAAGGACAGGCAAGGGTTGGTTGGTATTCCAGTCATGCAGTGGTCTTGCTTGCCTTCTCTAGGACACACCTGAACTTTGCCAAGGTCTCCTCTTGCTGTGTGCCCCGTTTCTCTGGCTCAGTCACCCTAGCTGACTTTGCTAAATGTAGGAAAGACTATATCTTCCTTTATACTCTTCCAGTCTGGATCTGCCTGGATGGGCTTGGGGGTGGAGGAAATGCTGTTCAACAACCCAGGGGTCCAGAAGAGCTGGATGAGCTATGCAAATGGACATACCAGAAACCCACCCTGGTTTGTAACATCCCCTGCCTTGTATAGCTCTGCCCTTAGATTCTCACCTAATCAGCATCTGTCCACCCAGTACTGCATTGCACCTTCCAACCTCCTCTTAACTAAGTACTACAGAAGAGTGTATACTATTCTTCTGAGAATTCAGCATCAGTTTAAAGGCACCAGGAAGGTAGCTATGGGGCTGGAATGCTGGATAATTTATGTGGGTGGGGTCTGAGCATCCCAACTGCTGCAGGATGTCAGGTAGGCTGGTTCTTGCTCACAGAAACCTTCCCATGGCTATCATGTGATGTCTATTTTGTGCAGAGTTGGTCTTGATCCAGGCAAAATAGGGATTTCAGGTGGTAACAGGTCTCTGAGATTCTGGGAGCCAGGTACATGGGCATGGGGAACCCATGCATTATGTCCTTTGCCATGTCCTGAGAGAGCTTGAGAAAGTCACTGTTCCTTCAGTATCTAAATATCTTCAGTAAAGGGAGAGACCCTCTCCTCCCTTCTCTCTACCTTGTAGAGGAACTGTAAGTGACAATGAGATCATGGTGTGCATGTGTTTTTAAGGACTTAAAATGCTGTACATGTGTAAGCACCAAGACAACTATTGTTACTCCCACAATTCCTGTCTTTACAACCTCAGTTTCTGATCTCCTTTCTCTGGGAGCCATAAAGAGACTAGGAGTTGCAATAAACATTGAGATAAATTACCCTGAGCTTTTGCTTCAAGCCAGAGAGCTGCAGCTAGGAAGGCAGGGATGACATTTGCCTCATTTTGGTATCCATCTCTTGCTGGGTCCCTGTCTGGGCGGAGTGTGACACAGCCATTAAAGTCAGTGATGGTTGAATGGGTAGATGAATAAATGAATGATATAGGCCTAAGGATATAAACAGTGCCCTCGGCAAACTTTGATTCGTTTATTCACTATTCATTCATTGATTCATTCACTCACTCATTCAGTAAGCTTTTTCCTGGGTGTCTGTTCCAGCATGGCATCTGTTCTAGGTGTTGAGCTGTAGACATGAAGGATGCCCAGTTCTCTGTGTGCCCTATTATGACACATTTTGAATGGCTGCCAAAAAGCCGAGAGCTAAATATATATATTTTTTATTGAAGCAGCTATATTAACCCAAGTTTAGGCCATTATCAGCAATCCCTTTTTCTCTCTGGGCTTGATCTTTGATTTCTCTGAATGGCCCTCTTGTGTCTTTGTCTTATTTTGTCAGCCACTCCAGAGGCTTTTTGGAAGTAAGCAGGGTACAAATTAGAAATCAATAAATGTGCAATCATGACTGTGTATACATATGCCTCTGGCTCTGTTTTAAAAGAGCACTGCATCTCAATAGACACAGTGAGGCATTTTTCATGCTAAATGTGGATTCTACGTGTCTGGCTACTCCAGCGTATGCTGTGTAGGATAAACAATTCTTGATACTACTTTTTTATTAGTCTTATAGGCAAAACTTCTTAATTTATGTTTGTCCAAAGACTATCTGTTGGAAACTCTATAGTCATGTAATAAAAGCAGGTTTTGAATAGAAATGATAAAGGAAATAATATTTATGTGAACCTATGCTGTGATTATAACACCACTCACTAGCAAGTGACAGAAGTTAGTTTAGCCTAAAGAGGAAATATATTGACTCACATAACTGAGAAGACCAGCGGTAGTTATGAATGTCTTCAAGAACAACTGGATCCAGGGGTTCAGTGATGTCATTAGGACTTCATCTTGCTCCTTCACTCCCTTGGAACAGCGGACTCATTTGTGAGCTAATGCAAAAGACTCAAAATGCATTAATTCAGAGATCCTGGTGAAGAGGAACTTGGTCAATTGTCCTGTAAAGGAGAACTGAGGGTAGACACTGAGCTTGGTCATCTATGTCCATGTCCCAGCGAATCAATGCAGCTAATGAGATGGTGTCCTCTGAGTATCAAGCTGTGTTCATCCCACTTGCTTAGAGAATGAGTTCCCCACAGAAAAGAGTAATTCTGTTACCAGAAGACAGAAGAAGGGATGTGGAATGAGAAAACAACAGATGTCTGGTAGTGTATTGAGCATCCACTGTATGCAGTTCCCTGCGCTTTGAACGCTTTGGATCCTGACAGTAGCACTTTCAGATAGATGATGGCACTAGCAAACACGTTGAGTGCCAGGTGCTGTTCTGAGCAATTCATGTTTATTAACTCATTTGATTCTCCTAACAACTCGGTGGGCTAAGTACTATGGTTAGTACTGTTCTAGAGATGTGAAACAGGTGCAGAAAGGTTAAAGAATTTGAACAACATCATACAACTGCTTAGTGGCAGAACCAGGATTCACGGTCGGGTGACCTGACTCCAGAGTCTGTATTTGTCTCTACTGGGAGTTCCCTGCCTAAGCCTCAATTAATGCCCCATTTTATAGATGAGAAAATTAAAGCTCAAAGTTTAGATTACTGCATATATATATCTATATACATATCCCATCTAAGAAGCAGCATTGTATTGCGCATTTTGCCTCAACACTCAGACTTAACCATCACAACGATCATGTAAAGAGAATCATTATTAAATCTATTTCTAAGGCTTAGGAGTATCTAACTTACCTATAGTTATATAAATAGGATGCGATGGAACTGAGACTCAATGCACGTCTGTGTCTCTGCCAAGTCCTTATGTTTTCCGCCATACCACACTGTCATGCTAACTACCATGGACAACTAAAGTTACGCTCAAAAGGCCTGGTGATGGACGTGTCATATATCCAAGAGTTTCCCTTAGGACTTTGCTGACTACCCATCATGCACCCATCCTCAGAGCCAGGATCATCCGACATGTATTAGTGGGGTACCTGTCTCTTATTCTGTGCTCAAGCACACAGAGCATGAGACATAGAATCCCAGAGCTTGGGAGTGCCCTGAATGTATGTTGCTGTGGTCTGCAAAATGCCCAGTGAGGTATCAACCATGCTTGGGTCACTCAATAAATATTTTCCCCCTGCCATCCTGACATAGATCATGGTCAAGTGTGGAGACTGTGCTTCCGTTCTTTCTAGGCTCCTGCAGCACCTGACCCAGAGCAGAGGACAGGAGGAGGTAGTCAAGTGAAAGAGTTAAGGGGCTGCCTGCTGTGTGTCCTGAAACCTTTGGCAAGTTACTTAAACTCTCTTGTCTCAGCTTCTTCATCAGTAGCATAGACAATGATAGAACCAACCTCTCTGTCTTGTTGTGTGGATACATGAGAATCATCTGGAGGAAAATAATTAGCATGGAACAAAGCCCATTGTAAATGCTCCATGGAAGATGACCACAGCTGCCCTTGGCTGGCCAGCTGATGAGAGTAGTGCATACGCTGGGGCTTTGGCTCTGTGGTATAAATGCTGCAGCACTTAGGGAAGAGTCCAGCCTCCAAGTTGGAGGAGGGTTAGATGAGCACTGCACTTGGAGTGGGACGACCTAGATCTTCATGCTGGATGGTCCACTTGTAAGCTGTGTGGCCCTGGGCATGTTACTTGGCCTCTCTGGGCTTCGTCTAGAGAGGAAAGGATGGAGCATGATCTGTTGCATGACCTATAGGCTATTAATTTCTCCTTTTGCCATCCCCTTCCAGGTCTTTCTTTCACCTACCCATGGGAGAGACAGTGAAGGATTTCTGGTTATTTAAAGGCTGATTGGTTAATGTTGCCAGAAATTCTTTAGAAGGAGCAAATGGCAAG